ATAAAAAGCTTTCCTATAGAAGAATCTTCCGGTCATGTTAAAGACCTACTCTCTACAGAAAAAAAAGCCATCTTAACAGAAGCCAAGTTTCTCATAAGGCGTTTCCTGTATCAACCTACATTCCCATCCAATATAAAACTCGAGCCTAGAAAACAGATCTGTTTTATCCTGGTACCTGCAAACAAAAAAAATCCTCAATACTTTTGGCAATTGCATTTATCTTTTCTGTGCAAAGTACAGACGTGGTAAAGCAATGTGCGGGCATAAAATTTATGAAACTGTTGGACTGGAAAGAACACCACAGGTGTTAAGGGACAGCACTTCACAAGTCTCAAATATAAAATCATGTCAGTAGTTCATGTCTGACAGAAAAGTTGACACCTCCAGTTCTTAGATCTTCTGATTTTCTTGCTTGCAGTGAATTTTAAGTCTCTCATTTTAAGACGGAAAACAAAATAAAGCTGCAGTACTATTCTTAATACTCATCTGTAAGAATTAGACATACAAAAGCTGGTATTAGTATATCAAGTTTTTCTGCTCTGTATTCATATCGACAGAAGTTAGAAGTTGGGAAATTTGCTTTTTTTTTTTGTGGACTTTAGCTTACTAAGTTATCTTGGTCATCCGATAGTTAAGTTCAAGTCTTCAAAAAGCTGCTGATGTGAACAAGGAACTCCCTGTTCTCTGTGTGAAGTGACAGCTCTGTCGTAACAAGGCTAAGTTTAAGTTTTCTTTTCCCTTTCAAATGATATAAGCCACAGAATGATAGAGAAATTCACGTCTTATGTAAGTACTGCTACTGGATAGCCACAGAAAAGCAGCATTTAGCCAAAGTAAAAATAAACAAGTTAACCCTCACTCTTCTCACAAGAAACTGCTTCTTTGCATATACACATGCAGCGAAGAAAACTAGTCCTACAAGTCAAAGTCCAAACAGTACTCATTCAATATTTTTATAAGCATTTGAGAGTCTAAGTTCAAGCAGCAGTAGAATAAAAGTAGCTAACATTAAGACTGCTGTGAAATGGACGAGTAACATACCATGGCTTGAAAGAAAGTTTTAGTATAAAACATAGGATGCACAGAGAACGTAATATTAATTACTTTTACAGCTGCTTACAAGATGTCAGAGAGTGGATCTGCAAGAGCTGTTTATACAAGAGATTTGAAGTCAGAACAAATAACTGAATAAAACCATCATGATTTATGAAAGCTGCCATTATAATTTATCAGTAAGAGATTCCTGTTTCTTATTATCTAAATTTTAATTTTGTTCAAGAAAACTAGTCAGCAATAAAAAGGACATAAAAAGTTGCTTTGATAAAAATATGTGAAAGCCAAGTTAACCAGTCAAGTGCAGTATTCTCAAGCCAGATCTGTTTAGTGAAAGGTGAAACATGAAAGACGCTATTCTTAGAGAATAAAAAGCTTCTTACTAGTGCCTAACTCATTAATTGAGGTCTTGCCAAGGCAAGACTTGTCTATTTGCCAAATGACAGTCTTCATCAACCTAGATTATTTCTCATTAACTCTATTTTCCTGAAGTAATAGTTACCTCCACTACATTACCCTGAGCGACTGGATTCCCTTATACACAGTAGTACAGACTCTCAGGAGGGACCTCAGAGTTTCAGAAAGATATTGACAAAATCTTATAGAAACAGATCAAAAAAGAGAATTCAGAATTGGATAAATTCATTCAGGTTTCTTGTTCTCTCAGCTGAGGAATTTACATACCATTTCCCTAGCATAATGGGTTCAAGGTTAAATTGCAGCACCATTTAACTAAAATAGTGACAGTTCTAGTAGCGAGTTCCTAGTCAGCTAACATTTGAGATGTTCTTAAAAGCATTTAAGCCTGCCTTTATTATTTTTAAAAGTGTGAATGCTCAAGTAAGTGAAGACAGTGTTATGAATTCATTAGAATAGCTGACAACTTCAAGTGAAAACTGAAGGCTAAAGTACGCAAGATTACATAACCACTCTTTGCGTACATTTTAGTGATAAGTTACATGACAAACTGCAAGAACAAGTCAGCATTTATTAGACCAAAACTTCCAAAATCATTAGATCTAGTGCTACAGCTGTTTTGTTTAATAAATGGGGTATACTATCAATGTACACTATTACTTCCTGATGTCTCCAAGAGTTGGGAAAAAAGGCAAGCGAGGCAGTGAGATTTTCAGTACTATGTGATCCAATAACATGCTCTCTGTAACCAGACAACCCCACGGCTACATATTCATGAGGTTTGCAGATCATATACTGCTTCAGTGAAAGCAAACTGACACCTCAGTAAGGCAGCTCAGTAAATTTCTGTAACACTTCATACTTAAGAGTTATCACTAAAGTTAACAGAATAACAGCCCAAAGAAAAGCAGTTTACTTCCATGCACAATGAAATATCTTTGTCTTGTCACTAGAATGATAAATATAAACAAAATTAAGTCAATAAACAGTTGTTTAATAAAACTACTTATGTTTCTCACAGGTGCAGAGGACTTTGTGCTTGAGTAGATATCTCCTGTCCTCCTCCTTGTACCGATATGAACAACTCATTTGATTTAAAACAGAAGTGGCCATGAAATTCTGACTGGCAAGAACAGCACAGGCAGGCCATTTTGAATAAAGACTCTGGAAACCACTGTTCTGAGCTACTGGACTTCAAAACGCACTTCCAAATGTTTATTTTGCTATCATGTAAAAAATATTTCCGATCACTTTCTCAGTAAGAAGGCTGCATTTTTGAGAAAATGAGCAGAAGATCTGATCTTGTGTATTAAAGTTACACACCACTACTACTTACAGACAATCCCTAACGTCAGGCCCCTCACTTTGCTGTGCAGCCTGTGAAACAAGAGATTGATCAATGAGCATGAGGAAAAGGGAAGCTAGAGTAAAATAACTGTTTCCCCAAGAACCAGGAGACTTGCATTGTACTCCTCATTTTGCTTCTAGCTTTCCAATTTCAGAAAGATATTGAAAAAAATATGGTAACCCTACTGACACGTGCTTTTACCTCCCTGAAACAATGTAAACTTCCTTGGAGAAAAGAGGGAAAAAGAGAAGAAAAAATTAAAAATAAGATCAGGCATGGTCTTACTACCAAATATTGCATACACTGATAATGATGGGTGCTACGATACAAATACTGGGAAAGTTTAGCACCGTTATGTAAAAGAGTTAGGTTATTACACAAAATTAAATTCATACCACCTGGTAACTGCCACTTAATTTCTACTTCATATTAGGGAGAGTACTATTACAGTATCAAGTATAGGATGATACCTTTAAAAAGAGACCAAACAGATTAGCAAATATCAATTCAGAAAATACACCATGAGTTGCGTGTCCAAATTCTTTAGATGTGGCCTAGAAGATAAAGGAAACTTTGCTTCCTTCCATTATCTTGTAATTATATCAGGTATCAAGTTACACCCCGGTATGTGGTTAACAGGTAATTAGGTTAAGGAGTACACATACTGAATCTTCTTTATACATGGCAAATGTACTTTTTTTTTTTTTTAAATAGGATACCGTCATCACACAAAATACCCCAGTTGCAGTCCTTGGTTAGTACAATCACCTGTAACTAACAGTACAGGACTGCTCCTCCTTCCCACTCCTAAGATCAAATCCCACATAAGATTCCTTCACCCTTCCTGGAAGCATATTAAGAATTAGAAACAAAATACTTCAGGTCAAGCATAATATAGAAGTCTTAGAATAGCCACAAGATCAATTTTTGTTTCATTAAAGTGGAACATATAACATAATTTTTGCTAAACAAAAAATTGCTCAGGATCTTCTCCATTTGAATTTTACTTTCAATATTAGCTCAACCTTGCCTTAGGGTACTCCTGAGGTCCCTTCCAGTCTAAATTAGTGATCATTATAGAACCTACTCCCAACCCAAGCAGTTAATTACAAAAGTCAACTTTGGGAACAAATAATTGGGGACTCTAGTAGAAGATACACAGCTTAAGACAACGAAGACTCAAAAACGCGTAGAAAAGAAATACTACAACTCTAAGCTGTGCATAGAAAGTAAACCAAGCAAACCTTGCAAACCAAGGAAGATTGGTTTACACTTCCACAGAAGCAGTACTGAAATCACTGGAGAAGGGAAGTAAGAATGTTGATGCTCACAAGTTCAACTCATATGGAAAGAAAGTTATATCTAAAATAAGACCACATTTTGTTTCACCTGTGCTGCAGCAAACCCCATGTCAAGTGGCTAGCTATACATCACACATGAAACAGTTGATGTGGGAACACAGTTTAGAGCAACTATTTTTTAACCACAGCACAGAGCAATTACTTGTTTAGTGTATTTTATGTCCTTTAATAGTATTCACAACTATAATCAATTTTACTGTTGACCTTCTATGTGCTATCAGTGTCTTACAAACACACGAAGCTTTTACTTCACAGAAAATACTTACTCTGCTGCTCTAAAGCTACAAAAGCCAACAGGAAGTGCTAGCTCAAAACCTTCTGCAGACTTAAAAAAAATTGCAGATGTTCTTCAAAAGTACATTTAAGCTTTGCATTCTTATAATTCTGTATAAAAGGTAATCACTTCATACAGTCTATACAGAAAAATACGTATAAAACAAACTAGTGTTTCATCTATTCACACCTAACACATCTTCTATTTAAGACACCATTTAATAAGATGTAATTAGTCTTAAGAGATCTTCTCCACCTCATAAACAAATCTTACAAAGCTCAGACATCCTTCCCTTAGCTCAACCACAATTTAAGCCATTTAACTGGTCTTGTAGCCGTTTTTGTGGGGTTGTGGGGGTTTTTTTAATAGCAATCTTGCTAAACTAGTTTCAGCTAATGTATAAATATATTCAGGCTCACTTTATACTCATGCTTTGTGCAAGTAGCTAAATGGGGCAAAAATATTCTTCATAATATTAAAAGTGCGTTGGGAAGAATCTCAGGTGATGGCTTTGACTATGCAAAACACAACAGATCACAACACTTACTTTTCATAGACTAGTTCCTCATCCGTACAGAAGTAGTGGGTATTTACGGTACTTTTCGGTTTATTTCGTAAAGTAGCAAAGTACAGCCGATCTGAAAGACAGACGAGGACAACAGCGTAGGACGGACAAAGCAGACCGCCACTTCCTC